TGACGTGCTGTAATGGCATCGTGCTGTCTGCCTCCTCCGTTCAGAACGGGTAGCGACTCCGTTGCTGACTTGTATCTTCGTCGTCGTTCCGTCGGTCTTCGTCAGCCATTGTTGTGCTGTTAAGCCCCGGATTGCGGAGAGCGATGAGGTTCTTATCGCCGACTTTTCGCAGTCTGGTTCGGTCCCCCAACAACCCTTGGTAACACGGTCGACGACCGAGCTGGTTTAATTTTGGATGGCGTCAGTGCCATGAATGGCAAGTGGCGAACTTTGACTTAGACTTTAGTACGGTCTCCAACCCTGGTCCTTTGTCAACCGGACTTTGGACCGCAATGGCGGAGTTACGACCATGGTGGAATCATAAAGTAAACTTTAAATCATCGGCATTCGCAGTTTGACAGCGACATGGTACATCCTTCACGGAGAACCGCCCAATGATTTATAACACGATGCGCTGAGTTACACAGTAGATGCAATTGACAGTTGTTTAGTTATATGGATTCAATGAGGTGACCGGAGGATCTAGTGCTGGCATCAACCGATGGTCTGCCCCAAAACGGCTGTGCCTAAACATCACGGACCCCTTGGCTTACACCTTGCCATTTAAGCTTGCGAGCAATGCCGGCAGTCAGTCCTTCAGAGCCCTTAGACTCTGACTGACTGGTAGCCGTGAATCCAAGTTTGAATGCTGATCAGGAGCTACTTGGATGTATTTTACTGACTGACTGGGATACATATCCCGACAGCAAATATCGTGTGTTTTCGGGTGGCATGAAAACCCCGCGTCTCAGCCTTAGAGCGCAAAGCGAAGAAGAGGTGGCATTGCTGCGTTGATGACCATGCCCAATTTCGTAATTCAGCATAGATCTATTCAGACGGCTTCCTCTGTTCAAAAAGCGGAGGCAGGATGACATGGTTTGTTCTGTCATACTCTACTGATCGTCATGCTCTTCAAAGCAAGTACACCATATAGATTTTATTAAAATCAATCCCTACATTTTGGATTGAGCTGGATCCAAATTCAGCGAACATGATGCAAGTACAGTAAATGTCAAGAAGTTGTGCGAATGCGTTTCACGTTGCAAGTTGACGACCGGAAATTTGATGACCTCATGTACAAGATCATGTCAATTTCTTTATAAAACCTAAAACAAATCCGATTTTATACCTCTTTCGTGAAGAGTGGGCCATTGCTTAAGATTGCGATGGTGTGGAAAATACTTTCACAGCTGTGAGGACATAGTTTATGACCTGAAATAGCTGTAAACTGAGCTAATGATAACTTGAACCTACAGAGCTTCTCGCATATTTAATGCAAATGTGAATTTAATGGATGCATTTGAAAGCTACACATCCAGACGAACTTGGCAAAGCAACATGCTACAGGGCACACGATGCCGCCGTACGATCCTAATGTCGGCGATTGGTGCATGGACAGGAATAAATTTTATGGAAATGACTATCTGTCTTAATGACAGCGAAACGTATTCAATCTAAACGATGGCCCAAATTGTAGCTGTTCAACGCGGGAAATGCCTAAAAGTGTTCTTTATTTTCTTGCTCGACTATGAACAACAACTTTCTTATTCAGATGCGTAGAATTTTGTCAGTTCTTTTCAGCTCAGTAACTTTGCTGTCGTTGGAGCATTTTCCAATGCTTTGGTCACATGTACACGGGACTTACGCCCACCATTTATACTAACGTCATGCATTTTTGCATTCATTAGTGCGTCTATGAAGAAAAACGCGGCCCACGCTGAAGAAGCCAAGTTTTAGTATGAAAATCAGCCATTGCGAGATCAAATAAACTGGAAGTAGGTGAACCACTTTGAACGAGAGTGCATATCGCTGCTCCTACGCTTTTGGCGAAAATACTTTGCTTGAAACTTGATAGACCGGATTACAAAGTTGTTCCTTTGGGATATAAATGCTGACTTTTCGCAGTGATGTGCATTCGTTTTCGTTTTCTGCTGGAAACAGACGCTTTTGAAAAGCGATCGTGAAGCATGAATACGGCTTTCGGAATACTACTGGTTTTGTGCACTGCGGAATGCATATTTGCTAGACCAGGTGAGAAACTGTGACATGTAGACTGCGGAAACTAAATCTACTAATCTCGTTATTCTCATTCTAGATCGTTACCTACAGCAAATGGAAAGACCCAGGTTCCGCAGACAATTTGGCTTTGGACCTGACATTACTTTTGGAGGATCATACCAAGGATACGAAGACTTCAATAATGGACCATTTGGACCGTTTGGCGGTGGTGGATATGGTCCATATGGAGGTGGATTCGGTCCATATGGCGGTTTTGGCCCGTTTGGATATGGATACTAGATCTTCATTATAACCAGTGGATTCACTAACTTGCTGAAAGTCTCCATATCACTGCTTTTCTCTGTACTTGATACCAAAATAAATCAACTTCAGATTCGTATTAGTTCTATCCAATTTTTCATGTGGCGCGACAGCGTTCGCCTTTGTGAAATGGCTGAAGAGACAACATGTGCTTTGCATGCAAGCGGTTTTCGATCAGCATACGAAAATGAATTGTACATAATTTTTACCTCGCAAATTTCATCTACGTTTCTGAAGAAGTGACAGTATGCATTGAGACTTCTGACACTCTTCGTTTATCTGCCGATTCCGAGCAACTAGCCAACCACATTAATCGCAACTTTGCCTGCTTTCGAAATTTAGCAAACCATTAAGCTATTCAGTATCAACTGGGGGTGGAAATTTATCCAGGTATGGTATGGTAGAAAAATAACGAATTCTTTATTCCTGTGTAATAACGGCTAATTATTGTCGAAGATAAGTACCTTCATGCCATGCGAAATTACGATGACATTCAGAATGTGCAAAGTGTATGCGTGATCATTAGTGTTTGTTTATGAATATGCATATGAATTAGTAAGTGCTGTTGGCAATGCAACCGCAAACATTAATTCTTGGACGTCAATTTTTGGTCGCCTTTACGCATTTCCGTATCTTCCAGGAAATTATTCGCCTTGAAAATATAACGCTTGATTCATGCTGTCAAAAACTGGCGATACCCATAACATGATGCTGTATTTTCACTCTGTCAGTCAGATAGTAAGGAGACTTCCTGTTCTCCCGATAACCGCTAATTCTTACGATGACTTCAGCAAGTGAGCCAATGACAATGGAGGAAAAATTTAGTACATGACGTTGTGGCACAACCGATTGGGCGCAGACTCTTAACTGGCGTCATAGCTCTGTTCTACGTTTGCCGCATTGAATATATATAACTGGACAGTGGTTAGCTGCATAGACTGCGCGCTTCAGCCAACCATGCCATGTATCAAACCCACCATTCCTTGTATCAGTTCTCTGTAACCGAAGTATGATGCTTTCGTCAAACAGTGAATGTCGATGATTTTTATTTTATTTTATGAATCCATATTGATGGCTGTGCGTGGTCACTAAGTCAGCGCGCAATCACTTGATCGGGAATTTGAGTGTATATAATTGCAGACGTTCATCTGTATCAATTGCTTGATTTGAGCCCTCAAGCTATACATCGCTCGAAAGATCTCCACAGGCACAATAGGAAATTTTCATAATATCTATCAATTTTGAAATTGGCATGTTCATCCGACGATTTAAAATAGACAGGCCATTAGCCACTTTCAAGATGGAAAGAAGAGCAGTCTAAGAGTCCTGTAGGAAAGTTTAGATGCCTTTAATTAAGGGTGAGGACATATTTCGACAGTAAAGAAGTACCTTGACGACCTTCTTAGGTCTAAACAGGCGCAGGGAGATTTGCACCAATAGCTCCAGAAAGCGGATATTAATCTCCGTAGATTATCACACAAAGTGCTGTCAACTGTTTGAAAATTGGCCAGGCTGTTAAAATCGATAAAATTTCCCCTGAAACATTTGTGGTTTTGAAAGAATACGGTGTGATGTGACCAACACGTGTTGCCAAACTGCAAGACACTAGTGGGCTTGAGAATCGAGGTGGCAGTACCCTTATACAAGAAAGGAGACCATAGGGAGTTCTGTAATTATCGCAGCATTGTTTTATTCAGCCTCCTGGGTAAAGTCTACGCAAGGTGTTAAAATAGAAATGCTGCGGAATGGCTTGATCTAAAATCCAAAAATAAGTAATGTGGCTCCATATCAAAGCGAAGTAATTCTTACAAAATCTTTGCCTTACACCGGACTGCTAGGAAATCATGAGCGTTCGCTCGCCACATTTACATGTGCTTGTTGACAAGCTGTGAGCGTGCATGCAGACATATGAGATCAATGTTCAGTTGTTACGGTCTAGCCTACCAACATATGTTGAAAGTGCGACCGGCTGGAGGTTGCTGGCGAACAAGACGCGGAATCTGGTCACAAGGCTTTACTTGCAAGCACAGAGTACATACAAATGGCAACAACTGCGTACGGGATATCATAGTCGTCACATCTACGTAATAATCTGCCCGTTCTAACGCTGACTGGTCCTTTTATACGCCTGTGGATTCTTTGTTTATCCTGGGTGACCAATCCGCATTGACCTGCTGGCTGCATTTCCGGTAAAAGGCACGCCTTTGTTTGTCGACGTGCGAAAGCAAAGGTCCTCTCTTTTGTTCGGCCCACGTTTCCGATAATTTGCTGCATGCGAGCGCTTGGCCTTTTGTTCGTTGCACGTCTAAGGGGGCGTTCGGGGGGTCCGCGTCCAATTGCCTTCGCTTTGTTACATCGCTTTCAGTCATCGCTGGCCGTTGCAGTAGCAGGTGCTGCGTCAGAGTAAATGGCACTGAGTTGAGATCTTTCATTGTTGACACTGGTTTTCGCCAAGGATGCGTTTTCCCTCATCTTCTGCTTGTGTTATACGAGGATAGCATAATCAGACCTAGTGGGTGGAAGAGACGGACCGGCGAAATGGCCGGCGGCGTCCTGCGTGAACTAGCCCGAACCGTGGAATAAAACAGATCTGAGTCAGAAGAATAAACTCTCGGTGTTCTAGTCGATATTCATTCCGATGCTCGCCTACGGTCATGAGTTGCTGGCCGTGACTGAAAATCCTCGAAGGAAGGGAAGATTTCCAACTACCCTGGCATGTAAGATTCTTCGAATTCCGCGCCGCTTTCAACTCTGTGTACCGCCATACTGTGATACTATAGAGCACCACAGAAGATCATCAGTCTGCTGGAAGAACTGTACGAAGGTACTAAGGGCGCCATCAGAGCAGAAGTGTTATTGTCGGACTGTTTTAGCATCAACAGTGAAATGCGCCAAGGAGAGGTGATTTCACCTCTATTATTCAACATGGTGATGGATTATGTGATGCAGATTAGCGTCGTCTCCAATAACAGCGAGGGATTTACTATCAAATGACGACTCAGTCGAATGTAGCCAGCAGTACTCATATCATCTCGAGTATGCTGATGACGTTATACTGTACTGCGCTAATGTCTTACTCTGTCAGTGACTTACTGGTACTAACTCGACGGTAGTGCTAGAACTTAACCCCACTAAAATGAATATCATACATGCACCCGACCAACGACCTAAAAACTCAGTGGAGTGGGGCGACTATCGACAACTTCAAGTACCCCGGCTCTGTTTTAGTACGGAACGAAACCGAAGCGTAGAAGAAAGTTTGGAAGATTTCATTTGAGAGTCAATGCGTTTCATTACCGACGTCGATAAAACCATCAGGACTGAATGACTGAACCTTAAACTAAGGTCTTGCCACAATGACCAAAGAGTAGTGACATAACTTTTAGTGACAGATGCGTGTCACTCGGGTCAGGAATTCATATGCTACATGGCAGATGACTGATGGCACTTCAACTTTTATGGCGTATATTCATTGCCGATTTGATGCTTTAATGCTTTACTGTAACATATAACTGTACTCCCTTATTAACAGCCCTGCCCTGGTGTTGTTGCGTTAGTTGCCAAAACTCTCGTTTCGTGGAAGCCAAGTACTTCTACAATGGAACTGAATGCAATGCCTGATCAATGAGGAGGGCACTTAAGGATAGGACAGATGTTCTTCCACTCTGATATTAAAGAACTTTCTAGGTCTTACCTCTTTAAATTCTATCGCAGTGCAGTTTATTTGATGAACTGCATTGAGGGTTTCATCTAGGTTGCTTGAAAATTATCTTTTGTAATGAAGCATCTCTAGTGTCATTCTATCGTATAGTCATAGGCGTTAAACCCTATTTTCATTATTTATTCAGTATTTCTTGACATTTTGGAAACTGTATGATAAAACGGAATGGCAGTCATGAATCTATTTTCTGGTGATTTGTATAAATAAGGCTGGAGATCAGTAGTTCACTATTCGATAGTGTAGACTTGTGTTGCGAAGAGAGTTGGTTTCTTCACTTGATGTAATGAATGCTACGTGTTGCACGTAAATTGTCCGTAAGGAAGGACAATCGTCAAAAACTTGGCGACAAATTTCGTATAGATATGGGTGAAACAAATTGCAAAATCAAGGAAAAACGATTGTAAAATTCTTCACTTCCCAAAAAGTTGCTCAGGCAGTCGCATTTACCGTTTTTGGTTCGATAGATCACGTTCGTGAACAATCAGTTCACCTCAGGTTCCAAACGCCTGTGGTCAATTATTGCAGTAATCCATCATCATTATCATTTCGGAGTATGAATCAGCTAGCAAACTCCAGCAT